ATATATATATATATATATATATATATATATAAAAGAAAACTCCTCTGTCAGTTTGTTGTACTATCGTAGCTTGCAAGTTGCTGTGATGCTAGAAGCTATGACGCTCGTATTTCAAATACCAGCAGGTTCACCCATGGTGGACAGGTTTTAGCAGAGCTTTCAGACTAACACAGACTAGGAAGAAGGACCTGGCAGTCTACTTCCAAAAAAAAAAAAAAAATTAGGCACTGAAAACCTTATGGATAGCAGATATAGTGCTGGAAGATAAGCCCCTCGGGTTGGAAGGCAGTCAAAAGATGACTGCGGAAGAGCTGCCTCCTCAAAGCAGAGTCAGCCTTAATGGTGGATAGAGTCAAGCTTTCAGGACCTTCATTTGCTGATGTGGCATGACTCAAAATGAGAAGAAACAGCTGCAAACACCCAATAATAATCAGAATGTGGAATGTACGAAGTATTAAACTAGGAAAATTGGAAGGCATCAAAAATGAAATGGAATGCATAAAGATCAATATCCAGCAAGTGTAAAACAGAATTCATAACCTTCTCCTCAAAATCTCTTCCTTCTCCAGCCTTCCCATTTCCTGCCATTGACGTCACATTCATTGTCAAAAAGAACATTTCAAGATCTATCCTGAAGCACAATGCTGTCAGTGATAGGATAATATCTATACGCCTACAAGGAAAACCAGTTAATATGACTATTATTCTAATTTATGCACCAACCACTAATGCCAAAGATGAAGAAACTGAAGATTTTTACCAACTTCTGCAGTTTGAAATTGATTAAACATATAATCAAGATGCATTGATAATTACTGGTGATTGGAATTAGAAAATTGGAAACAAAGAAGGACTGGTAGTTGGAAAATACAGCCTTGGTGATAGAAATGACTCTGGAGATCTCATGATAGAATTTTGCAAGACCAACGACCTATTCATTACAAATACTGTTTTTCAACAACATAAATGGTGACTATACATGTGGACCTCATCAGATGGAATACACAGGAATCAAATCGACTACATCTATGGAAAGAGACAATGGAGAAGCTCAATATCATCAGTAAGAACAAGGCTAGGGGCAGCTGACTGAGGAACAGACCATCAGCTGTGCTTATGTGAGTTTAAGTTGAAGCTGAAGAAAATTAATACAAGTCCATGACAGCCATAGTATGACCTTGAGTATATCCCACCTGAATTTAGAGACCAACTCAGAAATAGATTTGATGGATTGAACACTAATGACCGAAGAGCAGATGAGTTGTGGGATGACAACATCATAGATGAAAAAAGCAAAAGGTCACTAAAAAGACAGGAAAGAAAGAAAGGACCAAAATGGATGTCAGAAGAGACTCTGAAACTTGCTCTTGAAGGTAGAATAGCTAAAGTGAATAGAAGAAATGATGAAGCAAAAGAGCTGAACAGAAGATTTCAAAGGGCAGCTGGAGAAGACAAAGTAAAGTATTATGATGAAATGTGCAAAGACCTAGTGTTAGAAAACTAAAACGGAAGAACACTCTTGGTGTTTCCAAGCTGAAAGAACTAAAAAAAAAATTCAAGCCTCGAGTTGCAATACTAAAGGATTCTGTGGATTACACCTCAGCATAAAGAAAACAAAAATCCTCACAACTGGACCAATAAACAACATTACGATAAATGGAGGAAAGCTTGAAGTTGTCAAGGACTTCATTTTACTTGGATCCACAATCAACATCCATGGAAGCAGCAGTCAAGAAATCAAAAGACGCATTGCATGGGACAAATCTGCTGCAAAAGACCTCTTTAAAGTGTTGAAAAGCAAAGATGTCACCTTGAAGACTAAAGTGCGCCTGACCCAAGCCATGGTGTTTTCAATTGCATTGTATGCATGTGAAAGCAGAACGATAAATAAGGAAGACCGAAGGATAACTGATGCTTTTGAATTGTGTTGACGAAGAATATTGAATATACCATGAACTGCCAAAAGAATGGATAAATCTGCTTTGGAAGAAATACAATCAGAATTCTCCTTAGAAGCAAAGATGGTGAGACTACGTCTCACATACTTTCGACATGGTATCAGGAGGGATCAGTCCCTGGAGAAGGATATCATGCTTGGTAAAGTAGAGGGTCAATGAAAAAGAGGAAGACCCTCAATGAGATGGATTGACACAGTGGCTGCAACAATGGGCTCAAGCATAACATCGATTGTGAGGATGGCACAGGACTGGGCAGCGTTTCCTTCTGTTGTACGTAGCATCACTATGAGTCTGAACTGACTGGACGGCACCAAACAACAACAACAACACGGGCAAAATATTGAACGATGCAGGAAGCATCAAAAGATGGAAGGAATACACAGTCACAGTACCAAAAAGGACTGGTCAACGTTCAGCCATTTCAGGACATAACATATGATCAAGAACTGATAGTATTGAAAGAAGAAGTCCAAGCTGCACTGAAGGCACTGCTGAAAAACAAGCCTCCAGGAATGGATGGAATACCAATTGAGATGTTTCAAGAAACAGATG